GTTCTAACCAGTTTTGGTTGAAACTTTTATAACTTGCTGTTTCTCGAACAAGTTGGTTGATTTTTTCTCGAATTTACAAACTTGAAGTCCCCCTGATTGAATTTTGTATTTCAAGTTTTGTTGAAATGAATATATAGAGATGACCGAGTTATTGCCCCCTTTTTTAGAAACACTGTACAAGGAAAAGAAGGAGAGATAAAGGTGATGGAATTTTCCCTTTTTTAAAAAAATGTACGAGTTTTTGTACACCCCATTTAGATCATTTAGGAGCCAGAGAAATGTGAGGCATCGTGATGAAATCAGGCGCTCATCAAAATAATGGAAGTCAAGAAACTGGCATTTATCCGCAGATTTTGAAATGTTTTATCGAATTTTTGGTTTTTTGGCTCACAACCTTCCATGCCTTTTAAAGAACACATTTCTGTTTTGATTTTACTGAAAAACGTTTCCAAGGACTCTCAAGCTAAGATCGAAATTCATAACTCAACTTTGACGGCCATTTTCTCACTAATTTTATCTCTGAAACCAGGCAACCCCCACCCCCTTTGATCGCAAATATCTTGAATTGTATCTAAGACAAATTGATTTTTTTTTCATCCAAAGCAAACCAAATGGACAGGATTATACAAATAACTCCATATGCCTCAAAATTGACAAGCGCCTGATTCCACAGCATCATAACACACATGTTTGATAGGAAAGAAAAAGCAGCAAACCACACCAGAGCACCCTCAAATCATGCATGGTTAAACTCTTTAAAAAAGACAAATATACGCAAAGCTCAAATAGACGGCAAAACGAGAAATGCTGTGGGATGAAACAAAGCTATAGATAGATTGATAGATACAAAGAAGGTTGCATTGAGAAAGGGAAATGGCAAACGTCCTAGTAAGAGTCATAAGACCAGTTTGAGTGATAGACAGACAAGTGGGCACAAGAAGGAGGTAGGAATATAGACAGCCCACCTCAAATAGGTGAAAGGAGTGGAAGGAATAACTCAAAAGGCTAGAAAAAAACACAGCCAAAAACGTAGCAGGACAGAGAGACTGAGGGAAAAGAAGAAAGATGGATTAAACTACAATTATCAGAATTTTGCAAATAGCTAAACCCAATGAACCCTTATCTCCTGAGCCCAAACCCACATGCCTTCTTTATTCAAACCAATTCTCTCTTCCTTGAGCTGCCTTGACCTTTACAATAGTTACCACAAAACTACAAGTCCTTCTGACATCATTTTCCCTTCTTTTCATTCCATGTACAGACTACTGCTCTATGGTACACTCGCACACACAATATAAAAATTATCGGTTCTTCGGGATAGAGGCAAATAACATGCACATCATTACATCATAGGTTCATTGGGTTATTATACAGTGGAACTCGGATTCAACGAGGTCGCCGGACCTGACCTAAAATCTCGTTGAATCCGAGTGTTCGTCATAGCAAACACGAGGTTTTGTGTAGATAATTACAGGCACTGAGCAAGTAAAGTATAAAGAGTGGTCACAAGTAGTGCCTGAAATGCCTGCATATTATGAGCTGTGTAAAAAAAAAAAAAAAAAAGACCGATTAATTCAAATGCACTCCTGCGTCATCTCGATAGTTTACCACAAAGTTGTGTTGCTGTGTAGAGCCTAGCATACGGCAACTTTAGATTCCATAGACCAGCGCACAATTCATTATGAAGATCTACGTCAAGACTAGCTTATCATAGTAATAATGATCAGTTGCAGAGGGGAAAAAAACTGACGCATTTGTATCTGCGACGTTAAACGCCCGGACCGCTAGTGCTACCCCTCCCCCCCCCCCCCGACGCACACACACAGTCACACGTGTGCAGGCCGCCAATCCGAACCCGACACACGCCTGAGTAAACATGTGCCAACAACGCATGTGTTGGTATGAAAAAAAGGCCGCTGATTGGTCGTATGCAACCGGGTAAGTGAATAATGGTTCACGATGCAGTTGTAAAGGATGGTTTCCCGGAATAGATAAAGTTCGTTCTGGGAGAAAAATGAGCGAAGCCATGTCTGCGGGGGCTGTTCACCCTGGAAGCGACCTCGTTGAATCCGAGCTCGCTGATTTTAAGAGCTCGTTGAATCTGGGTTACTTTTATTGATTTTAAAGAAGGAAAAAAACGGGGAATTTATCTCATCTCGTTGAATCCGAGTTCTTGTTGAATCCGAGCTCGTTAGATCCGAGTTCCACTGTAAAACAGAAGCTCACAATATGCAATTGATCATATGATATATAGACTTCCTGTTAGCTTCAAGTACAGTCGAACCTGTGTAAGACGGAATCGCAAGGGAGCCAGAAAAAAAGCACGTCTTAGACAGGGGAATTTAGGGGGAGATGGAAAGGGGGGGGGGTTCAAAAGCCCAGCCGGTGGGATCAAGGATCGCTTGTCCGATCGGCAAGCAGTGGTCAAAACCTCACACCTCTCAGCTGCTATCCTGTCTGATAATGACATGCGTCAGTCTTACTTGTCCAATTACCACCAGTGCTTGCCTTTCATAGGACCACTGTTTGGCCTATTAAAATCATATAACAACGATTCAAGGAACTCTTTTCTCGGCTGGCATACGATCAAAGTGGCAGGCATTGGTCATTCTAATTTCACACCTCTGGCTTTTGGGTACCCAGGAAAGTTTCTGTAGTGGCTCGCTAGTCGCGCACTCTCACGAGCAGTCATGAGATTTCACACCCACACTACACTGAACCATCTGCATTGCTCAGGGCCCGCATGATGGGGTAACATCTACCCCCAAATTGCACCCCTACTTCCCTTCCTCGTCTAGCGGCATGGCCATGGCGTTAAGTTTAGAGCCGGCGGAACCAAACTTGCAAATTTTATTTCAAATCAGGGCTGAGCGGGCAAAGCATTTTCCGTCTTAGACAGGTGAAACCATTGGAAGGGAGCGGATTTTTCTTTCCATTTCCCCGTTGGACAGGTTTCCGTTTTATACAGGTAATTAAAGAGGAATAAATCAAGGGGGGGGGAGCGGGGAGATTCCGTTAAGACAGGTTTCCGTTTTATACAGGTTTCTGTTAAGGCAGGTTCGACTGTACACCAAAGTCCGATCATGGGTATATGTTTCATTTCTAGGTGAGTGGTATTCAGTTAAGAATAACCAGAATCATTTAAGGCAAAAACATAGTCAACATAGTAATAGTAGTGTAGATGAATGCTCTTCCATTGAGACTGATAAGTACAAAGGTTTTGTAAAGATTCAATAATGCCAAATAAACCAGGATACAAAGTAAACAAAACAGTCCTCTAAGCAAAATGGTACGCATTTTGACAAACAGCATCTGTCATGCATCATTCATAGAAAGGCATGAAAGCGTTTGAAACACCATCAGCATTCATAGGTTTCGAATACACCATTTTTACTGGTAAATAAATGTAAAAAGAATAAACTAATAACACACCTTGATAAAAGTGGAAAGATTAAAAAACTAAATAGATTCTGAGCTCACCATTGAACAATAAGTAAGGTAACTCTTCACTCATTGAATTTCTGTTTCACAATACACCAGAGCGACAGAAGAGCCTTGTCAGATAATGACAAGTACTGTTTTTGACAAAAATAATGATCACTCCTGGTTTTTGACAACATAATTTTTGACTGTGATAAAATGCACAAATGGTTTTTGACAATAATACAGTGCCACACATTTTTTTTACCAAGGTGAAGTTCACTCCTGGTGTTTTACAATAATCATGCACACTCAGTGTTTCAGACAATCACAATGTGACTGAGTAATATATTGATGAAGAGCGAAATTGCAAGATACTTAAACTTTCAAATGACTTTTACAAAAAGTTCTAACTGCTTTCATCTATTGAAATAATAAATGCACTCATGAACATTTTGCCATCCATACAGAATGACCAATACATTTAGAGACACAGTCATCCATAAGCCTACATAAACAAACACACACACACACCCAGCTCTTCTACATGAATACAAAAACACATAGATACAAGAGCAAACACACAGACACACACACACACATACACACAAACACACAACAAACACATATCATACATACACACACACACACACACACACACACACACAGACAAACTTAACATATGCACACACCTACCCCAGTGCCTTTTTTACACAAAGAGATGGAAAAATGGAGAACAGTAAGGGAGAAAAAAACTTCCCTGTGGACGGATCACTGGACGGACGGAGTAATATATTGATGAAGAGCGAAATTGCAATGATCAGCATAAAAAATAATGAATGAATTACTCACTGTAGTTTGGCAATAAAGATGGTGGTTTTTGTCTGGGTAGCACAATTTTGGTTTTGGGCCATACTTGAATGCAAAGTTTTTATTCAACAAGTTTAATTTTATAGAAAGAAGTATTGAAAAAAGCCCCAGGAGATAGCTAGGTAAAAAGAATATACAAATAAATACATGAGTGTCACAACGTGGTGGAACGAGACATTCATCAATTTTTGGGCATGTGAATTTATTGGTATAATTCTTAAGCTTGTTCATTGGTCTTACTTTCTATTTAAAAAATCACACATCTGTCTTGAATAGAAGTTGAGAGATTTGCAATTGAAAGAGGTGGGATTGCATGGTTTCAGAGGTAAAATTAGGGAGAAAATTTCCGTCAAAACTGGGTGCCTTCCAAAGCTTGAGAGTCCTCGGAAACTGCAAACTAATTTTTTTGAAGCCTTTGATCAACATTTTTTAGTTAAGTCCACACATAAATGTGTTTTTAAATGGACATAAAAGGTGTAGAGCCGAAAAAAAAAAAAATTCTTTTAAAATTGCCCAACAGCCACAAAAATGCCAATTTCTTTGATTTCATTATTTAGACGAGTGCCTGATTTCAGCACAATATATACACATTCCCAAACAAACAAAAAAAGATGCATCACATGAGCGATAAGTAAAAACATGATGGAGACATTGTGAAACAGTGAAAGAGTTAAAGAAAAGAACATTTCAGGATCAAGCTTTTTCTTTAAGCAAGACACAATGTGGTATTGATTTTATTAAAAAACAAAAAGATTCAAAATACTAGATCAGATTTTAAGCCAATCATAGAGCCCCCCAGTATTTCCTCCACCTTGAGATGTGACAAAAATTATTAAGCCATAATGAGGTATTCATACATTCCTGTCACACGAAAAACACAAAACAAAAATACCTAGGCCTTAATTCAATAAACTGACCCTGTCATTTTCAGCACACCATTCTAAATATATAGTTGCACATCTTTTGATAAACCACTTTGCATGATTAAGGAAATATTCTTCTTGCCATTCAAACTGAAACTCATTTTATAACTCGCCTGTCCCAATTTTGTAGACCCCGTTCTTGCTAAAGAACTTTTAAAAAGAAAGTTCTAAAATCTTCAACAGATTTCAAATAAAGGCATGCAATATTTCTCAATGAAACAATCTTCCTAGAAACAGAACTGAAATAAAGTTTTGGCCCAAGCACAAGCCAGAGCCTGCAGTACAGCTAAAGACACAATTCAAGTTTCATTATCAATCCAGGGGTAGCTATAAAAGGTTTCGTTCAACTACACAGAGATAAGTGTTTCTGAACAAACACTTCATAAACTACATAGTGGGATGTTGAACTTAGAGGTAGATAAGTTATTGTCAGAAAATAATTGAACTTTCCACTAATGAAATGCTTTTCAAGAACTCAGTCAAAAGAGGAAGTAAGTCCTAAAAACAGCTCTTGCTATGGATCATACAGCATCTAATGCTGTCTAAGAATTAGCCAGCCTTTAAGACACATTTCCATTGCTCATATCTGACCAATACATTATTGGTCTCGATTTAACAAAAGGTAGTATTTGATGAGATTACGTTGTCTTCTAAAAAATGCAACCGACAAAAGTTACTTATTTATAGTAACAAAACATCACCTCCATGTCATACACAGACATCGAATTGGGCATCTTTCACTAAAATGCACATGTTTTTCCTGAAAGAATACAATTCCATCTCATGTTTTAATTTTTTTTTTAAATTCTAAGCACTCCACAATCATCTCAGTTCTTTTAAAAATCTGCCAAAGAACCAGAATTCGCTTACTTTTAGGCCTACTGCAACAGCAAGACTCATAGCCAGTGCTCCTTTTGAGAGTCACCTTACCTTCCACAACAGATGAAATACTTGTTTGTAACTTTCAGGTCCACATTGTTTCTCCGAAAACAGCACATAAGTTCTATAACTATAAGTGCCTATAAAACATTGCATCTAAAGCCGAACTAAATCCTTCTTAAGTGCTAATAAGATTCTTTCCATAATACTGCCATCTGGTTGGCTGAAGTTAGCTAAAATTAAAAATAGCTCATACAATTCACATCAGTTGCCCAATTGTCTTCCACAGTCACCAGAAAACTTTCGTCTGCAGAATTCTTTATTGCTTATTTTGCAGCACCTGAACACAACAGAGGGAGAGAGGGAGGTAGCATGAGGATATTGTACACTGACTAGCAACATTGTCATTATCATCATTATAATTATTATCATTAGGCACCATTATTATTATTAATATTATTATTATCATCATTATTAATATTATTATTAATATCATCATTGCAATTATATTGATATTATTAGGATTACTTATTGTTGTGGTAGTGGTGATCTGGGTGGCGTTTTTTTTTGTCAACAATATTACTATAAATCAAAGAATGTTCCTTTTAAGAAAATTAAGGCAAGCACCATAAATTTTTGGGTGTTTTTGGCTTGAAAGATCGATTTCCAGATTTTGGGCTAGAAATAATGTTAGACCATTATACTACATATTTCACATGTTTCCGAAACTTAGAAAACACCATAAATATACAAATTTTCTGTTTTTGTAACCTAGGAGGTGATATTTTAGTACCATTTTAGACCTACGTTGTTAGTTTTGGGTTATGAAACACCGTAGTAACCATATGTTACTTTGAATAGAAGGTTGGCATGTTGTATATCACTAAACACGGCATTTAACACTGGTAAAATAACTGCCATCACCGTTCGAATTCCTTCAAAAATACTGTTAACTGTTGAAAAAGGTCACCAGATCCTGCCAAATAGATTCAGAAGTTTCCATAAGACTAAGAGCGGATGACGCAGTCATTTCAATGCATGCCTCCTTTGGCATTTTCAGCATGGGTCACTGAAGATTTTCTCAAATTGGGGACGAGTAGAAGTGGTGCCTAAATGCCACAATGAAGAGATTTTGGGCATATTATACTATCTTTGAATTTGACAAAATTCTTGGCTGTGTTAGTAGTGTTTTTTAACTAATGTGTATATATGGTTGTTGGTTTTTTTAAATACACATAAAATATAGTCTTAAATTATAACATGTTTTCTTTTCATTATGGCACACCCCAGTTTGTAGAGTATGTACAGCAAATCTGAGGGCTATGTCTCCAATAGTTTTTCTTGGAAATGAGAAAATGTGAAATCATAAAAAATTCAATTTTTATAATCTTTCCACTTTTATCAAGATGGCCACCGTGGTGACATTTTTTGCAAAAATTTTTAATTCTTCATAAATGTTTTGTATATGACCGTTCAATGTCACTGTAGTCATGTTTCAAGATACTGTTGTCAAGAACAGCAAAAATACTAAAATGTATTAGTGCTTGCCTTAAGAAGTTTTCATGTAGATAATATCTTATGAGGTTATGTCCCTTTTTGACCATTCCATGACTGAAAGCATGTTACTACAGTAGTCTCCGTCTAAACGCACGGTGCTCGGGAGAGCTCCATAGCATGTGTCTATACGGAGCGTGAATTTACATGAACCTTTGCAAAGGGAGGAAGGGTGGCAGTCATCTCATCGCTTTGATATTCTATTGACCTCCCTTTGGAGTGGTTGTCACTTTGGGCCCATAATGTGACGACACGTGACTGTTTTGTGAAGGATTCCCCGACTGCGGTTAAGACAACAAGGGCGTTGGGGGGGCAGAAAGACAGACTCACTGTAATAATATGTACCATAAAATGTCAGCCACAGATAGCCGCTGTCCATCACTCTCTATGTTCGACGTGAGGGGCAGTCTCACAAAATATCTGGCTTTCTAGGCTTGTCTTACTCTTATGCAGGCTGTGCAGATTTAGTGAAAATTTCCCCTTGTCAAGCATTACCTGTTTGCATGTTTCGCGGATCAGGGCGTGCGTTTACAGGGTACGTGACCGTGCATTTGTACGTCTACATTATATAGTAAAAAACCCGTCAGGTGGGGAAAGAGTGCATTTGAGCGGAGAGTGCTTTTGTATGGCATGTGTTTAGGCGGAGACTACTGTATTTACTATTATGTAGCCTATTTACTGATGAGCTGGAAACTGTAGGGTGCAAGATAAAGAAAATTTGATAGAACCATTAAAAGAAAGCCAGCAAAATCTCTGGATCTGATTTTAATAGGACTGATGAAATAAAAAGATCACAGGTATAAAAAAGATAAACAGAATTATAAATGACCAAGCACATTCCATTTCCACACGCAGCAGCAGATACGTACCCCTAAGAATAAAGAAAGAAATATGCATAAGAAGTTCTTACCATCTAGTATAAGGCTTCTGTTGTGTATTGCTGTTTCGAATATGTACACGCATCTATATAACTCTAAAAGTCTGTGATAAACTCCTGCATGTGGTTGAAAGATGCATTTAACTCATTCGCTACTCCGAGTCGTGAGGGGCGGCGTGGCTAAAGTGCCGTCAGTACGCTAAGCCGCCCGCGGCGGCTCGAGAACCAATCTTCAATTTTAGCTTAGATTCTATTCCAATCCACATATCCATGTTAAAATAAAGGTCATAATATAAAGTTGACTTCCGGGTCAAGCATTTTCACTGAAAACTAGAAATTTAGATTCAGTTTTGAAACTCGATTTTGTAGTTTATTCGACTTTGTTTTATCGCGATGCCAAAATTATAGCCCGGACACCAGTCTTAGTAATTTTACACAACAAAATTTATCATTATTTTGCCCACTAAAGAAATGTAGGACTCTTTTTTTATAATATTGATACGATTGGACTCATATTGTCAATGCACTGCTATTGAGAAATCAATTATTTTTTAGTGATAGATCTAGTTCTAGATCTAAATTGTCAAAATATTTTTTTCTCCTCAAAATCACTACTTTTTGATGAAATTACACAAAAAGTGCCACTCAAGACATGTATAGGTTTATTCCAAATGCAATTCTGAATAATTCCATATAAGATACGAGTGGGTTTTTTCTGTTTGTGATCGTTTTTCTAGATAATAATAATTTTTTTTCCAATATCGGATGTTATCATCCAAATGTACAAATAGTATGGAATGTATGTAAATAACTGCAAACTTTTCAATATTTTCCAGTTCTATATTCATTTATGGTTATTTTGATGTATCATTTGACTAGGTGCAAACATATTTCTTGAGTTTCACCAAAGATTATTAATTTTTTATTTTCAAATTTTATCCGCATCCCATCAAAATTGTGTTGCATAATCGCCTTTTACAGGAACCAAAGTTAAAAAATACATAAATAAACATTACAGATGTATTCTACAAACCATACTCAAAATATATTTTGGTATATAATACGTTGATATTTATTTGAATTTGTGGCCTCAAAGACCTTTTAACTGCCCACTAGTCATCATCTCAGTCGCCCTCCAGAAAAAAATTTGTCCACAAGCCGAAAATAATACGTAGCGAATGAGTTAATGTGATATGTCCATTATTGTCAGCTTTACTTTTCTCTTTATATTGAATTTTACTGAGAGTAATCTATATTTGATTTCTAGGTATTTCTGCTGCATGTGTTTTTACAGCTCCTGTACAGCCAAGAATAGTTTCCTCCTGGGACAATAAAGTATTATCTTATCTATCTTATCTTATCTTATACAGTTGCTCTGTCCTTCATTTATTTATTCATCCACTCTCTCCTTTTTTTATCCCCCTTTGCCAACTCAACTACTGAGCTATCCACCCATTCACTCCTGTCTCCACTGGTCCCTACTTCTATAACTACCTTTTTCTATCGTTCACTGCCCAACTCATTCACAACCTAAATTACTCACTCAATCCTTTATCCACCCATCCCATGACTCCTTGCTCGGTCACTCACTCATCCAATCACCTATCTCCTTCCACCTTTTATTCCTTTTTTCCCTCCTTTATTTACTACACCTGGCAAACTCATCTGTTCCTTTCCTTGCATAGTCACTCTAGTCATCATCATCACCATGACCACCATCATCACCATCATCATTGTCATCAAGTGTTTTGTACAGAGCAGACTTTGGCAGTTATGGTTATCCATCCCTCTCTTTCATTCGAGACTCTCATGAATGAGTTGTTGTTTATTCTGAAGTTAGTTGCCCTGCCAAGTGTTTCAGCTTAGTCATTAATCTTGTGCATTTGTGTTCTCATATTTACTTCCTTTCAATTTTTTTCAGATATACTTGTTCCAAACTTCTTTTTCTGTATATAAACCCCATGAACGTCATTAGACACCTGCATACTTCCTGTAATTACTTTAATACTCACCTACTTACAAACCCATCCCCATTATCCCTAACTCTCTTCACACATTCCTTCAATTAGATAAACACCTACACAACCACCAACTTGCATGTGCGCTCTCTTTCTCTCTCTCTCTCTCTCTCTCTCTCTCTCTCTCTCTCTCTTTTTCCTCTCTCTCTTTCCTCTCTCTCTCCCTCTCTTCCCCCCTCTCTCTCTCCCCCTCTCTCTCTCCGAACTATTAACAAATCTCCCTCATCCCCCCACTAACCCATGTGCTCTCTCTCCATACCTATCTTACCAGCTCATTCCTCTACCTACCAACCAACCCACCCATGCTCTCTCTCTCCATCCTTTACTCCCTTACTACCTTAGTGACTGACCCCCCCCCCCTTTTCACCCTTACCTTCCCCCACCTGCACCTTCCATCCCCTACTTGCCCCCCTTACCCTCCCACACGTGTACCCCTTACTTTACCCTCCCCCACCTATACCCTATCCCTCTCCCCATCCTTTCCCCCCTCCCCGCCCACTGTGCCCCCATTACCATTGAGCAGTCCATTGGGGCCAACCCCCAGCACATCAAGATCCCCAGTGTTGAGCACAGAGTGAGAGCCGGCGTGTGGAGCACTGCGGTTAAGGGTGTGGTTTGAGCCCTTCATGCTGACTTGCGTCTGGCTGCGAGCCAAAGCTTCTAGTCGCCGGCCTGTCATGCCTGACACAGGAATACCAAAGGTTTTATAACTGTTAGTACAAAGAGTACTTGCAACAGCAAATTAAAAAGTGGATAGGTTGGACATTTCCAAAGTCCACTGTTGCTGAAAACGGTGAAAGAAGCAGTTTAAGTCCCTAACACAGTTTAACTTAGGTTGTTTGGGGCATCAAGAAAGCTCTGACTGACAATGCCATTGAAGATTTAGGTTAATAGGCGGTATGCGCACTCATGTGACCTTATGTAGTTGCAAGCGTCATAAAACATTTACCAAAACAACCCCAAAAAATCCTACAAAAGGTACTCCTGTATACATAACATTACAATGTTGAAAATCGCCTTAACACACTTCAGCCTATCCCCGTGTATTTACAGGACGATGTATTGACTGGATGCACGTATCGATCGATATCACCGTTGTTTTTCAATCAAATGCTACGTACAGGAAGCAGAAAGCCAACAGTTCATTTACTTGTTTCTTTCCGTAAAAAAATTGGTGAAGTTATGTGCGATGCTTTTTGAGCTGTAAAGAACTAGAACTAAGTCAGTCACCCCTGCATTGAGACAGATGATTTTATTACAAATTGGGTGCAAAAAAAATTGTGTAACCCCAAGACATTACCATTTCAAAATATTGATCAAATAAAAACTATTCAGACAAATCAGATGTAGTTTTCTTTTCCAGTGAGGGCATTTCTTTTTTTTCTTTTGCTGTATTTTAAATATTATGATAGCTTTCAGTCTTTTTGTTGTTAACGATTCAATATATTACAAAAGTGTCAAGCTGCAATGGTTGTCGGATGAAAAATAGCTCAGGCTCAAGTGATTAAAAACATATCATACAATCAAACTGACATAGCCATGCACCAACCCCTTTTTGCAGATACAGTAAATCCTATTTTCAGAAAAAACAAATTTCAAGAAATTTCCTATAAAGAAAAAAATTGGTGGTTTTTTAATTTCCTCAATACAAGTGGAACTCCTTAACCCTTATATAAAAGAACTTTGGATGAAATGGACAACTTTTTCCATTTCAATTTGACTGGCTGTTCATTTGTACAAATTATTCTGGACCTACAGCCCTGGAAACAAAATGCTGTAGAAATCAAAGTTCACTCTTGTTTCTTTTCTTCTAACAAGATTACGACACACATAGGATTTTCCACCCTTACTCTTTCAAGCAAAATAGTTAAGCCAAATAAGTGGCCATACTACATAATATTCATGGATACAGTACTTAAATGATAGCTACCCAGAATCTGCAAAATGATATCATCTAGTTTGACCGTTTTTAGCTTCAACTTTGGCATGACTTGATGAACTCAATTAACCTTTAAATGAGTTTGTTTTTCTGGAATATCATATCCCACTATTGGCAACAGCTAATCATAAAGTGGCCATTTCATTTGCTGAGATCAACATTTTTGCACTCAGGCTGAGAGCTGCAGCAGAACCCTTGACTTGCAACTTTCCCTTTGTTCATCATACAGTCATACAGCAACAAGCCCACAACATGTAGCTGTGAACTTGTGCTTTCCCAAGGATATGGGAAGTAAAATTTGAAAAAAAGTCAAATGTGGGTGGTTGACAGGTGCTCTGGTGTGGTTTGCTCCTTCTTTCCTATCAAACATCTATTGTCCTCATCTCGTCTCCTTTTTTGTGTTTGTTACTCTCTAGTAACACCTCCAACCTTCAGCACTTTCATGACCTAATTGGTTTGCTAGTGCCATAAAGCTCTCACTAAAACTAAACACTACGAGTATATGTCCATTGACCAAACCAATCTTCCACACAAGACTGCAAAACTCATGATCCAACCCCTACCCAATGACGTACATTGCTTTCAAGGAGACTAACCTCTGTTACTGGGTTCCGACAAAGTTGTATTCATTCGCTGGATCTGCGAAACTGTCAGGTTGTTGGGCTGGGTTCGGAGCTGCATGGGGATAAACTTGTTTTGCAGACGCTGCTGGGTGATCTTGTTTTCTGGCAGTTGCAGGGAGGCCGAGTTCAAAACCTGAACTGGGGTGGTGAGAAGCTGCTGTGTCTTTCTCAGGCCTGGCCTGGATACATAGAAGGAGAGGGACGGAGGGATAAAAGCAGATAAGAAACGAGGGATGGAGGGAAGGGAGAGGCGGGGAAGGGAGAGGCGGCAAAGGGAGGACATGAATGAGGGAAAGGAGGAGAGAGAGACCGAGGAGGGGT